CAGATGGTCCCCCAAGCACTGCCAGGAGTAATTCCTGAGCGCAGAGCCAGGAGTCAGCCCTGAGCATCGCTGGGTGTGACCCAATAGTGCTGAGGGGAGGATGGGTGCTTGCCTTGCAACACGTGGCCAACTCAGGTTCGATCCCCATACCCCATCTGGTCCCCTATTCACAATGAAGAAAGAAAATCAGCCCTTGTGCCCAAGGCCTGCTTCCCTGTCCCCATCTCATCCCCTCATCGCTTAGCTACTGAAGGAGAACTTTGGGGGGGTTGTTTCTTGGTTTGGAGACAAACCCTACCTTGTTCAGGGGCTGCTCTTGGCTCAGTGCTCAGGAGAGTGCCCTGGAGGTGCTCAGGGACCTCTACAGTGCCAAAGCTCGAATCCGATATGGACAGCCACCTGCAAGGAGAATGCCTTGACTTTTGCCCTGAGGAAAAGCTTCCGGACTCATTCGATGTCTTCATCACCAGTGAAGCACATAGCTCAGACACAACCCCCTGTGACGCCAGCCTTAGGCTATGTGGGGAGGGGCAGAGGAATGTCCCCAAGGGTTGGAGTACGGGCTGGCTTTGGTGCTGGCTTTGGCGGGTATGGGTCCAATCATGAACACCAGAGTCCCAGTGGCAACTCGCCTTCCCTATAAAAACATGTCTTAAGTATTCAAACGTGAAAAGGAACAAGCATCTGGCTTGCCCGTGGCCAACCCAGGTTCTATCCCCAACATCCCCCATGGTCCCTGTCTGAGCCCCGCCAGGAGTGATTCCTGAATGCAAAGCCAGGGATCAGCCGTGGGTATTGCTGAACATGGCCCAAAAACAAAATCAAAAGTCCTGCTGGAGACCTTGGACCTGGTCACTTCACCTCCACCATCTGGTCGCCCAGCTGTAAGGGGGTGCATCCACTCTGCAATCTGAAGTGAACGAGGGGCATGGGGCAGCTCTCTGGGGCAGTCAGTCTCCCTTTGTTCTGCCCCCATGGGGGGTGTGGTCCTTCCGGCCCTTTCTTTGCAGGTGGATGAGATCTTGGGGGAGCAGCCCGTCGTCAAGGAGCGGGTGTTTGTGGCCTTGAAGCAGTATGCAGCTGAGCAGCGGGTGGACAACCTGGTGTGGGCACTCTCCCTGGTGCTGCCCCGTGAGGCGCATGGGCCTCTCCTGGACAACCTCAGGTACACCAGGCGTCCGGGCTGGGAAGGGACTGGGGAGACCACCGAGAGGAACACGGGCTGTCAGTGCCTTCAGCTGCAGAACAGGAGACCCCTGGGGCAGAGACCTTCCCCCGAATCAACTGCTCCATGTCCGCTCAAATTCATAGCCTGCTCGGCCCAGCCCCGTCCAGGGCACAGAAACACTCACAAGGAGCTAAGATGCCCAGTGCCTCCCCCTGCTCCTTGGTTAAGTCTGATGTGGGGTTGTGTTCTCTGCCCTTGGCTGATGTCCACGGTCTTTGCTGAGTCCACAGCACCACCAGCTATTTGGTGTTGCAGGAGATTGAACCCAGGCTGCACAGGTGGGAGTCTTGTACTCTACCCCTGGGCTTCATCTCAGACCCTCCCCCAGCACCATTATCCCCTTCTGGCAACAGGCAGACAGTGGCTCAGAGAGGTTAAGAGACTGGCACAAAGCCACGCGGCACGAGTGGCCATCCTGGAAGGGGACTGTGTTTGTGGATTGTCACTTTCTCCTCTTCTTAAATGAAATATTTTTTGGAGGGGAAGGAGGACATATGAGCAACAGTGCTAAGGGGTTTAACTTGGCTTCGTGCTCAGCTGCTGCAGAGGTGCTGGGGGGGACCATGCAGTTCTGACCCAGACTTCCAGCGTGCAAACGCGGCTCTGGGTAGATTCCCGTGATCTCTTCCCTCAGCTTCACCTTGGGGCCTGCTAAGATGGTACTTCAGGAAGCAAATCTCTTGTGGGTCCTCAGCTGGAGCTGCTCCCTTCTTCCTGCCGTGTGTGTGTGTGTGTGTGTGTGAGAGAGAGAGAGAGAGAGAGAGAGAGAGAGAGAGAGAGAGAGAGAGATGCATAGCTATGGCCAAACCCCCTGAAAACAACCAGCAAGTGAAGTGTCTGGACCCACTTCCCATCCCTCAGCGTGGCACTCCCTCGGCCCCTCCCTCCGCAGCCCCTCCCTCCCCTCCCCCCATTGTCATTCACTCCAAGCCTGCCCCTCCCTCCGGGCCAAAGTTCTTTCTGGAGCCATGGCAGGCTGACAGCACCCTGCAGGGCCCCGCAGGCACAGCTGGTCCCTAGGAAGTTGATGGGAGTCCTGCCTGCTCCACCGACACCCTCCCAGGGCCCCTTTTTCTCCTGGTGCAACCCGGCTGGGGCTCTGGAGCCACTGACCTGGGCAGCCCAAGTCTGCCTTCCCCTGCCAGAGCCAGTGGCCAGCAGTGGCCGGCTCGCAGGTCAGGAGGAGAGGGTTGTGGGGCATGCGCTGGCACCGGGATGCCCATCCCCACAGTGGCCCGCGCCTGCGCCTCTGTTGTCAGTGCATCAAATGCGACAGGAAAATTGGGGAGTCTGCGGGGCGAGGGGCGGCACCCAGCTGGGCTCTGCCGAAAGAAGGGGTAACTTGACAGCTTGGCTTCAGTGCACAAGCCCTCTCCTCCCCACCCCCACCACGCACCCAGGGACCCTGGGTGTGGGGTCGGGTGATCTGCACACCTTGCACAGAGTTGTAATTCCCAGAACAAAGTCAATCAGGGTAGGCTTCGAGAAGGAGGCAGCAGGTGCCAGGGTTGTATGTCCCCCCCGCCCCAGCCTGCAGGAGGGTTTGTCAGGGTTAGTCATAGAGCCAGAGGGAGAGCCCATGTACCACGTGAGGGTAATGACACAAAGTTCCTGAGCCCAGTACTGCCCAGAGTGGACACTGAGCAGGATCCCATCTAGAGGAGACAAGGGTTAAATGTCAGAGCTGCTGCAGGGGAAGGTGTGTGTGGGTGTGCCTATGGCTGGACCTCCTTGGCAGAGGTTGGTAGCCCCCCAGACGGCCATGTGGCTTCCGACTGTCCAGAACCGTGGCCTCTCCATCACCGCAGCACCAGCCTGAGGATTGGTCAGATTCCTAAGAGCTAAGACTCTGCTTCCTGGCCTCACTCGCCAGTGTCAGGGCCTCGAGGACCCACACAGCCCGTGGCCACTGCAGGAGACAGTGCACAGACAACTACCATGTCAGTCATTCCAGAAAGTTCTCTGGGCCAGTGCTGTGTGCGGATGAGATTTGGGTCAGAGGCAGCGAGGGGAGCAGAGGGCCTGGTGCCAGCAGCTCCGACGACGGCTGAAACCCTGATGTGGGTCTATTCCAAAGGGCCCGTGAAGATGATTAAGTGACTTTCTAATTAGGACAGGCCCGGCAGGTGGGCAGAGTGTGAGGGGCGGGTGGGGGGCTGGGATCTGGAGTGTGGCAGCCGTGACTGGGCAGCCTGGGGCTCGGTGGCTGGACCCTGGAAGCAGCATCTGTGAAGTGCCCTCAGGGATCCCTGTGGGGTCTTGGTGACAGGCTTGGCTAGTTGCCAGCAGAGACTTCCCAAGAACTGGGGAATAAGGGAGAGACACCTGCACCCGTCCCCACAGCTTCCATGTCAGCTGTGTGCGTTCCTGTCGGTGTGTCGGCAGGGCTCAGCGTGTGTGCTACGGTCAGTGTCTGGGCTGGGGCTCACTGGATCCCATCAGTGGCACCCTCGGCGACCACCCACTAGATGCTAGGTGCGCGCAGCTGTCATTTGTGGCAACCTAATTGTCTACTGTCCTTGGGAGGGCACAGCGTGCCTGCCCCCCACCCAGGCTAGGAAGTACCCGCCCCTGGTAGTGCCTCATTTTGGACACGCCCTTGAAGCCGGGGTGGGGTCATCTGGGCTAAGCTGCCAGCTGTTGTTCATCTGCGTCCTCACCACACTGCTGGCAGTGTGGGCACCGCTGGCTGTGCTTAGCTCTGAGTTTAAGATTCTGCTCAGTGCTTGCAGCTTAGTCTTTTAGGGGGCTGAGGGTTGGAGCCACATCGGGTGGTGCTCAGGGACCCTTCACCGGGCGGGGGTCAATCCCAGGTCAGCTCTCTGTCCCTGTGCTGTACACACGCACTCTGGGTGCCAGGTCATCGCAGCAGGTACAGAACTGGCAGAAACGGGGCATGCACCGAACAGGGCACTCGCCTCTGTATTGGTGGGATGGTCCTCACACCCCCCCCCCCCCCGCCGCCCAGGCAGGACTGAGAACCAGGTTGGGAGGTGCTGAGGCATCGCCGTGAGGGAAATGAGCATCCCCCAACAAGCACAGAGCCAGGAGAGGGGCGCCGGGATGCTGGGCAGCGTGGCTGGGACAGAGGACAGAGAATGACCACCAGGTCGGCTGGGGATAGGACAACTTGCCTGTGGGGTGGCCACCTCCTTACCAGTAGAGAAATGTGCCCTGTGAGGTAACCGCTGCCCAGCACCCAGCCCTGGGCTGACTCCCAAGGTCTCCCGCCCTTTCTGGCCAGTAGTCAGGACAGAACCGAGAGGGATGACAGCGAGGCGTGTCCCCAGGGGGGTCGCCCTTTCCTGGCATCCGGGCTCCTCCCTGCTTCCCTCCCAGCAGGTGATGTCTGCAGGAGCCCCCAGGACTGGTGGCATCTCAGGCATATTGTCCCCAGCCTCACAGCGGTTGTTCAGGCTTGGCTGCCCCGCCCCCACCGTCGGAGGGCTCTCCCGCACCCCACTTTCTCCTCTTTACAATCTACCCACTTCTCCCTTCCACACGCTCCTTTGAGGCTCTCCCAGCCCTGCCTCCCGGCTTCAAGCAAGCCTCCAGCCCCCCTGGCCCACCCATCCGCAGCGCCTCCTCCCTCGCTCCCCGCCGGCTCGGCACAGTCCCAGCGCGGCGCGAAGGGTCCGAGCCTCCACCCGGGGCTTCCCGCCGGCTGCAGCGGGAGGAGGCGCCCGGGCTCGGCGGACGCGGGTGGACAGTCCCCCGCAAGGGGCGGGGCGGGGCGCGGGGCGGGGCCGGCGGCGGGCGCGGGGCGGGCGCTGGCCCCGCAGAGCGCGTGGAGACGCGGTGCCCTCGCTCTGCTCGCGGGCTCCGCCACCCCCTGCGCTTCGGCACCTGCCTCGCCGCCGTCCCGGCTCCAGATGGGGAAGGACCAGGGCTTCTCACGGCACTTTCGGTAGTTTCCCCGCCTCCCCGCGCGCCCCGGGGAACTGGGTGCCCTGGGTGCAGCAGACCCGCCTCCCGCCGACCTGGGACTGGGTGGGGCTCCATCCCTGAGGGGGCTTCCCGGCCCACGGTGGGCACCCTTTGGCCTGCCCACTGCCTCACGGGCTGGGGCGGGTAGGAGGGAGGCAGGACATCAGGGCTCAGGTTCTTCGCGCCATCCTGGGGTTCGGGATAGGAACGGGAGGGGTCAGGGTCTGGGAAGGCAGAGCCCCGGCTGGTGGACGGGACTGGCCAGAGAGAGGCAGGGCCAACGGCCGTACGTGGCTCCTGGTCGGCTTCTGGAGTTGGATTCAGGCCAGAAGAAGCCGCCGGGCGTTTGGTGCATGGTCTTTGTGTGGGCCAGGATGCGCACGTGTGGCTCGGAGAAGCCTTTTGGCACTGCAGGGATCAGGAGCCAAAGGACCAGGGTCAGGGGCCACAGAGGCTCCGGAGACCCCACCCAGCTGGCTCTGTATGGTCTGGTGGGTTCAGAGCAGATGTGGGGCTCAGGCACTAGCCAGGGGAGCTGGGAGCCCAGGAGGTGGAAAAGGCGCCTGAAGCCCCAGACAGCCTTGACCTCTGGGATGCGGACCCCTCCCGCAGCACTCTGGCCTCTCTCGAGCTGGGGGGAGCGAAGCATATTTAACTGCTGCTCTAGGGCAGAGCTAGGATGGACACGGACACCCTGCCCCAGGGGGCCCAGAGCTGAGGCGGGACGGGGGAGGGGACACTGCTGTTCCCCGGAGCCCAGAGCACTGTGGCATTTCATGCGTGCTATTCCTGGGGCTCGGGGATGTGGGGGCAGGTGGGGGCTCTGGAGACCTTGAGGTGGAGGGAACAGGATTGGGGCTCTAGTCCAAGCCTGAGGGGCTCCTGGGTGCTGGTGGCCCGTGGGGAATGAGGCGGAAGCTCCTGATTTGGGGGACTCACTGCCAGGGGAAGAGCCAGGTGGCCGTTTGTTCTAGAGCAGAGCCCCAGAGGCAGCATCTTAGTGATCCCGTTTCCGGACATTGGGGTCACCTCAGAGGCGGGGTGTGCTTTTAGCGGGCTGCAAGACCTCCGCCCCCTTTCCCTCCCCAATCCTCACCATCCCCTTGACACTAGCTCCTGGCACCAGGAACAGGCAGGGAGCCCGGGGTGTCATCGGACTCGCCCAGGCACAGAGGCTGCGTGTGAGGCCAGCTGTGCTGAGATCCAGCTGTGTGAGCAGGAAGTTACAGAGCCTCTCGGGGGCTTCAGCATCCTCTCCATACGGCAGGAGAACCCACTGGGGTATTGACTGCTGCCATGACCAGAGGTGGGGAGGCGCTTCTGGTGTACCCCCTGTGAATGGGCCCCTCCACTGTGCCCTAGCTGGTCACAGTGGCCCAAAATTACACTAGAGACCTGCACTCAAAGATCATGCGACCTCAGAGGAGACCCTCTCTCTGCCCCAAATGATCATCCTGGCGCCCCAGGACGCTATGCCTCCCGCATGCCTCTCGCCACTTCCAGGCTGGCTCCTAGGAAAGCAGTGAGCCCAGAGCCTTCAGTGTGAAACCCGGATCTGGCTCCAGGGACTTTGCACTGATCCAGTCAGAATAAATTGGAGGCTGGTATTGGGCGCCACCGAGAGGGAGCTTAGCAGGGAAGCACCAAGCACGGGAGGAGAGGTCAGGGAGATGGGAGGGGTCCAGGCTCTGCCAGGATCTAAGCCAGCAGCAGCCAGGGGGTCAGGCCCAGCGGGGTAGAGAAGACTCAGGGCGGATCCCTGGGGTTCTTGTCTCGGGAGGTGGAACATGAGAAGCGCATGTGAAGCTTGATGAGAGGAAGCCAGAGGAGAAACGGATCCATGAACAGGCTCTGGGGGCGTCGAGGCTCCTAAGAGACAGAGTCTGCGTGACGGTCGCTCTCTGATGTGGAGAGGATAGGCCTGGGGCGCGGCCGCCCTTGAGCCGCGATGGTGATCGCTGTGCCGTCCTGGGACGCGCCCCGACTCCCGCTGTCCTCGTCTGCAGGATTTTCATCCCCAAGAAGCACCGGGCGCGCTTCGACGAGGTGGTGTCGCAGGGTCTGCTGGGCAAACTGTGCCGGGCCCGGCGGGCGCAGGGCGCGCAGCGGCTGCGTCGGAGCCGCAGCGAGGAGCGTCCCGAGCGCCTGCTGGTGTCCACGCGCGCCAGCGCCCCGCCGCGCCGCCCCGACGAGCCGCCCCCGCGCAAGTCCGCGTCGCTGCTGGCCAGCCGGGCCTGCCTCGGGGGCGCGCGCAGGTACCGGGGGCCTCACTGGGTGCGCGGGGGAGTGGATGGCGCCCCAGTATCCGCTTCACCCCAGCGCGCCCTTCTCTCTCCCCAGGACGGTCCGAATCTACAAGGGCAACAAGAGCTTCGGTTTCACGCTGCGCGGCCATGGACCCGTCTGGATCGAGTCTGTCCTGCCTGGTGAGGGCGGCGGTTTGTCTTAAAAGACCATAAAGCGCAGGATGGGGTGATGAACTGGGTAGCCGCGGGGGGCGCGCGCGCGCGCGCGCACACACACACACACACACACACACACACACACACAATCTGAAGAGGGGCAGTCCCGCCTATGGTGCCTGTTCAGAGTGTAAATGGGACTGTGAAGGGGACGCGGACGCAGGTAAACTCGAGAGGCAGCAAGACCTTGGGGCCACTGCTCGTCCACCCACAACAACCCATTTGTCCCCTCTGGCCCTAAATTGAGGCATCCTGTAGAAGTCTCCTGGGGGTGGGAGCTCCTCCTCCCGCCCCCACCCCTGGACTTGGGAGATGGGGGCATATCCTCACTTCTTTTTTATTTGTTTTTGGTTTCTGGGTCACACCGGACAGTACTCAGGGCTTATTCCTAACTCTGTGCTTCAACACTTTATCCTTTGAACTGTCTCTCTGGTCCAATGTGGTACACCCCAGGCATGGTGGAAAATTCCCTGGGGGCAGAGATGTTCTGCCTTTTATCCACCTGCAGAACCCCAGACACAGGGATGGGCACAAGAGCACTTGGCTTACATGTGGCTGACCCCCATTCAATCTCTCAGGTACTGTCAGATGTCACTTTTGAGCACCACTGGGTGTGGCCCAAACCTTCCTTTCCCACAGAAAACATCTAGGGGCGCTGCTCCAGGCTGCTCACGCCATTATTCTTTCTTCATTCTCATAGGATGCTTCTTCATCTCAAGTGGATGCTTTTTTTTTTTTTTGGGTTACTCCTGGCTCTGCACTCAGGAATTACCCCTGGCAGTGTCAGGGGACCATATGGAATGCTGGGAATCGAACCCGGGTTGACTGCGTGCAAGGCAAACGCCCTACCCGTTGTGCTATTGCTCCAGCCCCTAAGTGGATACTTTGACAGAAGCTTTTTATTTAGTTTTGATTTGGGGGCCATACCCAGCAGTGGTCAGGGCTTACTCCTGGCTCTGTGCTCAGAGTTCATATTCCTGACAGACTCGGGGAACAGATGGGGTGTCGGGGATTGAACCTGGGTCAGCCACATGCAAAGTAAGTGCCTTACCTACTGTTCTATAGCTGTGCCCTTTTTGTCCTGGAGTAGATAGCACCCGCCCCATGCAGAGTGACCTGGGGAAGCACCAGCGCCAGCAGGAGGCAGAGGGGAGCACGGACTTGAGCCTGCATTGTGATCAGGGGTACGGGGTGGGGTGTGGGAGGGTCAGATGACAGGTGACCAGATGCAACAGGCTTCGGATGGGCCAGTTTGTCTAGGTCCTTGGGTACGGGGACCTAAAGGCTGTCCCTGTCATCTGAAGCCTGACCCTAGAAAATCATTTCTAGGACAGGGCCTGCGTGTCAGAATGGGGGAGGGGGGTTAGTGGTTTGTAGGAGAGGTGGGTCCTAGAGGGCTGGCTAATGTGGGGGACTGGCTAACTCGGGGGGGGGGGAAATACTGGCTAACCCTGGGGTGTCATCCAGGGCTAAAGACACCAAGAGAATGAAGCACCAGAAGTCTAAAAAGTGGCATAGGGGCTGGAGAGAGAGCACAGCAGATAGGGCGTTTGCCTTGCACACGGCTGACCCGGGTTCGATTCTCAGCATCCCATGTGGTCCCCTGAGCACCACCAGGAGTAACTCCTGAGTGCAGAGCCAGGAGTAACCCCTGTGCATCGCCGGGTGTGACCCAAAAAGCAAAAAAAAAAGTGGCATAGGGACTCTCCCCAGAGCTTGGAGGAGGAGGCCACTGGCTTCTGGGTGGACCTGTTTTCTCCTGCTGGTCAAGGTTCAGAGGAACCTGTGTTGGGGACCACTCTGGGGGCTCTTGCACTCCTGCCTTGCTGCTGTGCAGGGTCAGGGGTGGCCAAGTGGCGCCTGGCTTGGTGCAGCCGGGGCTCCTGTGGCGTCTCTTCCCTGCCCTGTTCCTCAGAGGGCTGTGCGCAGCTGACCTAACCCCTCTGCTCTCAGGAAGCCCAGCTGACAGTGCTTCCCTCAAGTCTGGTGACCGGATCCTCTTCCTCAATGGACTGGACATGAGGTCAGAGCCTACTAGGGGCACAGAACTGAGTGCTGACCCATCCCCCAGGGCTCCTGCCTCTTGGGACCCCCCCCCCCCACCAAGGTTCCCACCTCCTCTGGCTAGTTGGTTCCCAGGCTCAGTCCTTCCTTGGGGTCTCTTGGACTCTCGTCCACCCTCTCACGGGGCACTCAGCTCAGTGCTGGGAACACAGGCCGACTATCTGTCTCACTCAAGGGGTGACCATGGCACATACCACCCTTCTGACCTCGCAACATCCTGCAGGGCAGCCTGGAGGCAGGAGGGGGGATGGGGTCCTGCCCAGGTTCACCCCGGGGCCCTCCCGGGCCATCTCTGCCTGACAGAAGCTGCTCGCACGACAAGGTGGTGTCCATGCTGCAGGGCAGTGGGGCCATGCCCACGCTGGTGGTGGAGGAGGGCCTTGTGCCCTTCCCTAGTGGTGAGTGCCCGGGGATGGATTTAATCTGGGTGGGGGTGGCATCAGAGAGCCCAGTTCCTGTGCCTGTCGTTGTCCCCTCGATCCTGGGGACCCGGGCACCCACGCCTCCTCGCCCACCTGTCACTGTCCCATCTGCGCCTGGGGACACGGGCACCCATGCCTCCCCTCCTGCCTGTCACTGTCCCCTCCTCTCCTGGGGACCCGGGCACCCACACCTCCTCGCCCGCCCATCACTGTTCCCTCTGCGCCTGGGGACCCGGGCACCCACACCTTCTCTCCTGCCCGGGAACCCCGCAGACTCGGATTCCCTGGATTCACCCAACCCATCATCAGCGCTTACGTCCCTGCAGTGGGTGGCCGACATCCTGCCATCCAGCATTCGCGTGCAGGGGAGGACCTTCAGCCAGCAACTGGAGCACCTCCTCACGCCGCCCGAGCGCTATGGGGTGTGCCGTGCACTGGAGAGCTTCTTCCAGCACAGGTGCTCCCTGTCCTGCCCAGACTCCGCCTCCCCCACCCCCCATATCTCCCTGCTCAGCCCCTTCTCAGGGGCAGGATCCAAGTAGGCAGCACCTGGGACCCTCGGTGGCTCTTTCGCACCTTGACCTGGAAGCCTCCTGGCTGGTGACCGTGCTGCCAGGATGGTGTGGCATCTCACTGCCATGGAGGGTGGGTCCTCTTGCGGTCCGTGCCAAGCCTTCCTGTGTTGGTTCTGTTTTCTTTCTTATCTGGATGGTTCTGTAGTGATGTTATTCACTGAGACCCGTCACCATTCCTCTATGAGGCACAAGATTTTGTCCCTGTTGTTTCCATGCTCAGCCAGAGATACCTCAGCAGGGATCCCACCCTCTCCTCCACCTCCACAACCTGTTGGCTTGCCCCAGATCTTTTACTTACTTATTTATTTGGTTTTTTCTTTACAAGTTCCCGATGATTTGTTACAGATATGAAATATTCCACCACCAATCCCACCATTATTTCTAATTTTCCCAACCACCCCTTAAGCCTGCCCCCATAGCAAGCTCTCAGTAATGCGGTAGGTTGTTTGCCTTGCACGTGGCCGACCGGGTCGGCCCAGGTTCGATTCCTCTGCCCCTCTCGGAGAGCCTGGCAAACTACTGAGAGTATCTTGCCTGCATGGCAAAGCCTGGCAAGCTCCCCGTGACGTATTCGATATTCCAAAAGCAGTAACAAGTCTCACAATGGAGATGTTACTGTGCCCGCTCGAGCAAATTGATGAACAGAGCCTGGCAAACTGCTGAGAGTATCTTGCCTGCATGGCGAAGCCTGGCAAGCTCCCCGTGATATGCCAAAAGCAGTAACAAATCTCACAATGGAGACGTTACTGTGCCCGCTCGAGCAAATCGATGAATAAGGGAGAACAATGCTACAGTGCTATAGTGCAATGCTTGTCATAAATAATTTGCTAAAAATGTTTCCCAAGAAAACAGTGAAGATTGTTGTGATTCACCATTAAGCTCTTGTATAAGATTACCAAGATGTTGTTACAGGTTAAGCCTTCTGTATTTATATATATATATGTATGTATATATATATATATATATATATATTTCTTTTTGGGTCATACCCAGCGATCCTCAGGGGTTGATCCTGGCTCTGCACTCAGGAATTATTCCTGGCAGTGCTTGGGGGACTATATGGGATACTTGGGATTGAACTCGGGTTGGCTGTATGCAAGGTAAATGCCCTAACAGCTGTCCTATCACTCTGGCCCCAATTTTAACAGAGATTGGTTGTCTTCTGCAGTACATCCCATCCAATCTGGAGTGCTACTCCTGGTTTATAAGTGTTCTGGAGTTTGAGATGTTGTGTGGCTGTGAATGCAGCCATACGCTTCAGGAAGTCCAAAATTTTTCATGTTGCCCCAGAACTTAAACAACTCCAATTGACTTCCTATCTGTGGATTTCCCCCATCTGTCCTTCCACGTGTCTTGCATGTGTGCGACCTTGGGTTCCATTCCCAGCATTGGAAGAAAGGATTTTCTGGGGTTTTGTTCTGTTTCGGAGCCACACTGGTGCCCGGGGCTCCCAGGGCACCACAGCGGTGCTAGAGGCCTCTAGAGCATCACCTGGTAATACTTGAGGAACTGGATAGTGCTGAGACTTAGCCCCAGGCGTGACCCTCACTACTGTACTATCTTCTAGAGAGGGCATTACTATTTAGCATGATCTTTGTTTTAATTTCTCACCATTGTTCTGTGGACTTTTTTTCCCCCTTGCTTTTTGGGTCACACCTGGCATTCCACAGGGGTTCCTTCTGGCTCTGCACATAGAAATCTCTCCTGGCGGTGCTCAGGGAACCACATGGGATGCTGGGAATTGAACCCGGGTCGGCCCTTTGTTCACAAACCCAACCACAAACTAAGCTCTCAGCTCAGGGGCTCCAACATTCTTAGGTTTAGGGGCTCATGGGGGTGTCTTGAAACCACCGAAGCCTGGCTGTAGTTCCATTTGGGGGAGTCAGAGCTACACTCACATCTTTGACTTGGGGATTAGGCTCTTGCCCCCTCTGAAATGAGTCAGTTTCTCAATATACTTTGGGGTCCTTATGTGTTTCCTTTTTTATGCTTCTTGGGGAATACTTATCCCGAGGGCCTCACACAAGCAAGGCAGGCAGGGGCCACGCCCCAGCCCCCTATACACTAGGATTTCATCTTCACAACAGTTCTGCCTGGTAGGTGTTTTTTTTTTTTTTTTTTTTTGGGTCATACCCGGCGATGCACAGGGCTCACTCCTGGCTCTGCATTCAGGAGTTACTCCTGGCAGTGCTCAGGGGACCATACAGGATGCTGGGAATCGAACCTGGGTTGGCCATGTGCAAGGCAAACACCCTACCTGCTGTGCTATTGCTCCAGCCCCTGGTGCTCTTCTTATCCCTCTCAGAGGAGGAACCCAAGGTCCAGAAGTTAGTAGTATGAGGAAGGTCACTTGTCTGGTAAGTGACAAAAGTAGGATTTGAGTCAGGTGGCCTGTCCCCAGAGCCTGCCTTCTTGCCCTTTTCTCGGTCTTGCTTAGTAGAGGGTAGGTGGCCGGACGCCCGACTCTGTCCTTGCCCCAACACCTCCCCATGCCATGAGCCTGGCGTCATGCCCACTTGCTGCCGCTGCCCCGCAGGAACATCGACACGCTCATCGTGGACGTCTACCCTGTGCTGGACACGCCTGCCAAGCAGGTCCTGTGGCAGTTCATCTACCAATTGCTGACCTACGAGGAGCAGGAGCTGTGCCAGGAGAAAATCGCCTGCTTCCTGGGCTACACAGCCATGACCGGTGAGCACTTGGTCCGTCCCAGCGGTGAGGCAGGGCAGCCCCTCACATGCCCACGCACTGAGGCACACACGTGAGCATATGTAGAGGATGAGCTGCCAGGTGCCTTTCCCACGGGTGAGGCCCCACCCATGGGGGGGATGTGCACATGTGCATAGCAGGTGAGCAGGTGGGACTCCTGAGCCTTTCCCACTGGCAGGCATGTAGCACACAGGCTCAGCCCACACACGGATGTGCCGGGGCACAGCAGGTAGGGAGCCGCTGGATGGTGGATGCACACATCTGCACAGCCCGTCAGGGGCATTCCGCACCCACATGGCTCACACGGGGGACTTAGGCTTCTCACCGCACGCTGACATTGGCCTGGCTCCTGCTTTGCACCCTGGGAAGGGTGGCCCAGAGCGCCACGCAGGGTGGTGGCTATTTACAGCTCCAAACATTGAGCATCCACGGGAGTTCAGGACATGCGCACGGCACACACACAGGGCCTCCAGGCCACCTGCAGTCTCTGTTTCCCTCTGCTGCCTACCATGCAGTTCCTCGGTGGGTCCGGTCCCTAGACAGGTGGCCAAGACTGTGCATCTTAGCGGCAGCCAAGAGCTTCCCTCAGGCCCTGCAGTCGCCCCGCCTCTGTCCCTGTGTGCCTGCCGTTGTGGATGGTTGAGCAGGCACGCAGCGTCTGGCCAGCAGTGGGCTTCCCACCTTCAGTGCATTGGAACCTTCCACTGCGTCCACTGTGGACACCGGTTCTGGGACTGAGGCCCTGAACGGGGGTTCCGGCTCTCAGCAGGCAGTACCCCTGGCAAGTGCTGTTTCCAGTACCAGCTCCACCTCCCCTTCTCTTCCCACAGCTGAGCCTGAACCAGACCTGGAGCCGGAACCGGAGCCAGAACCGGTACCTGAGCTACAGCCCCGGAGCTCCCTGCGGGCCTCGTCCGTGTGCCGCCGCAGTCTGCGTGCCCAGGGCCTGGAGGCCAGCCTTGGCTGTGGTGAGGCCGGGCCGGGCGGGGCACCCCCATGTGTGACACCCAGGGGGCTAGTCCTGGGCCCCCTGGGAGGGGAATGAATTCACAGAGAGGGTTGCCTCCTCTATGCCCCCTCTGAGTCTGGGGTGCAGGTTTGGGGCACACCCGGACCCTCCCTACGAACCCCTCTCTGGCCCCGCAGGCCCCGCCGAATGTCCAGACATGCCTCTCCCTCTGATCCCGGGTGAGCGCCAGGCCGGTGACGGCACATCTCTCCCCGAGACCCCCAACCCCAAGATGGTGAGATCTGGTGGTGGGCAGGTCCCCCCAGGCTGGCGCTGAGGCTTTGGCAGGCACTGGACTCACCCCTTGCTTCCCCCCAGATGTCAGCCGTCTATGCCGAGCTGGAGTCGCGCCTGCATAGCAGCTTTAAAGGGAAGATGGGGACCACCTCCAGATCCCGCGCATCACCTCCGGTGCCCAGTCCGGTCAGCATGGCAGGTGGGGGTCAGGTGTCTCTCTGCCAGGGCAACCCTTCTGGCAGGCTGACTGGAGAATTCCCCACTCCAGGCCCCGGGGCAAGTGGGGCGGCATTGTGAGGAACCCCAGACACCTCCACGGACAGGCCTCGCAGTCAGGGTGGTCTCGAGCTCTCCCATGTCCCCAGGACTCCCTCCTGACTGGTGGTCCCCAAGTTAGCAGCATGTGGCGGGGGATAAACCGTTCGAGGTGTGGGGCTCTGAAAGACAGGGCAGAGATGCTGCTTCTCAGAGGGCAGGGCCTCCTCCATGAACCTGTGTATGAGGGAGGAGGCCTGGAGAACACCCCTTTCCCACCCCTTGAGTCCTGGGTCTGGCCTATCCCAGGGCCGTTGTCGTTCTCAAAGGGGCCTGGGAGGTGGGTGAGGCAAAGCCAGGAACACCCAGACCACTGTGTGCCCTCCCCTCGGCTTGCTCTCGGTGCAGTCACTGATGGCAGGTCTCCACCCTCAGGACCCAGGACCAGCATCTCGTGGCCCAGTGAGCGGCTCCTGCCCTCGGCCTGCCACTACCCGCTGTGTTCGGGGGGCCTGGCTTCCCCCAGCAGCTCCGAGTCCCACCCCTATGCCAGCCTGGACAGCAGCCGGGCCCCCTCGCCACAGCCGGGCCCAGCCGGACCCCTGCTGCCCGACAGCCCACCCAGCCCCGCACCCGCCGCGCGCACCCACAGCCGCAGGAAGCTCTTCGCCTCCTCCCGGCCCGTGCGTAGCCGGGACACCGACCGCTTCCTGGACCTGCTCAGTGAGCAGCTGGGCCCCCGCGTCACCATCGTGGATGACTTCCTGAGCCCAGATAATGACTACGAGGAGGTGAGGGGGCGTGGGGCAGGGACCTGGGGACACGTCTGTGCCTCCTGCGTTGTGCCCGGTGGTGCCCGCCCCGTCGACCCTGCCCAAGGCTCTCCCACAGTGTGCCTGATGCCCACATCTTCGCCCCTGCCCGAGGCTCTCCCGCAGGGTGTCCAGTGCCTTTGTCCCTTCCAGAGGCTCTCCTGCCCTTCTTTGGGGGACCTCCTGTGACTCGGGTTCCCCCGTTCCTGTCCCAGGCTCTCCCCCCAGCCTGCCCCTCACCCATCCTCATTCCGCCCCAGCAGATGAGCTTCCATGACGAGGACCAGGGAAGCTTCGGGACGCAGGAGCGCAGCAGCGCCAGCGACTCGGTCAGCAGCAGTGAGGAGGGCAGCTCCCTGACCTACTCCTCCATCTCTGACCACATCCCCCCACCCCCACTCAGCCCCCCGCCGCCTCCCCCGCTGCCCTTCCACGACCCCAAGCCCGGTGGGGGCCGCACCCCGGAGGGGCCCCGGGGTGCCTCTCAGACACTGGCTAAGCCCCTCCCCCAGCACGGCCACCCAGTCCCACCCCCACCCCCGCCACCCCTGCCTCCGCCCGTGCCCTGCGCGCCCCCGCTGCTGGCCCGGGGCCTCGGCCACCGCCGCAGTGAGACCAGCCACATGAGTGTGAAGCGGCTGCGCTGGGAACAGGTGGAGAACTCGGAGGGCACCATCTGGGGCCAGGTAGGGGACTGGACCTCCCCCACCAGGAGAGGAGGGACTGGGCGGCAGTTTTGAAAATAAGATCAGTCTGGGGTGGGCCGCAATGATAGGACAGTGGGGAGGGCATTTGCCTTGCAAGCGGCCAACCCGGCTTCGATTTCCAGCATCCCATATGGTCCCCTTAGCACTGCCAGAAGTAATTCCAGAGCCAGGAGTAATCCCTGAGCATCTCCAGGTGTCACCCAAAAAGAAAAAAAAAGATCAATTTAGGGGTTGGGGAGCAAGTAGCACGGCGGGAGGGCCCTTGCCTTGTATGCGGCAGACCCGGTTGAATCCCAGCATCCCACATGGTCCCCTGAGCCCTGCCAGGAGCAGCCCTGAGCACCTCTGGGTGTGGCCTCAAAAAAAAAAAAGACTGACCTTCCAAGGTCACTGGGAGCATCCCTGGTCCTCTGGTCACTGAGCAGAGTAGGGCAGGAGGCCATGCCCAGGGCCATGCCTATCCACCGCCCAGTGAAGACCCTCGGTGACCCCAGAAATGGTCGCACTCACCTCAAAACCTGTCACTCCCGAGCTCCTGCTTGGCCCCCTCCCCACCCCAGAGCTGGAGCCGGTGTCTGAGCAGAGCTGGGTTGGCGTTTATCTGGGCACCACAGACACCCAGGCCTGTGTGCACAAAACTCCACTTACTTCGGCACTACACCCTGCTACCCAAGCAGCCCTGGGTTTGGACCCCCGAATAAGCAGCTAGAAAGGCAGCTGAGCTGGCCCTGGGCCTCCCAGCAGCTGAACCCCCAGGCAGCCCGTACAAAGCGGGGGTGGCCGTGCTGATGTTTCATTCACCGTGAACCCCACGTCGCAGCTCAGGGAAGACTCGGACTACGACAAGCTCAGCGACATGGTGAAGTACCTCGACCTGGAGCTGCACTTCGGCACCCAGAAGCCTACCAGTGAGTGGCCCTCTGGCTGAGGGGCTCTCCCGGGCTGCAGAGCTCCTGGGTCTGCACTGGCTGGGCCCCAGAGTCAGGGAACTTCTCCGAGTCTCGAGACCCAGGCTTCCACTGCGTGCCTCCCGAAGGCCACGCGCCTCATCCTGTGACCCTTGGCCCTGAGGTAGGCATAGAGCCAGCTCTGAGGAGGAAGCTCAGAAAGGCTAAGTGATGGCTCACAGTCACACAGCCAGTCTTCCTGCCTCTCCCCTTGAACCCTCGCTGGGCACTTCCCTCTACTTGCTGTTCCCCAGCCAGGGAAACTGTCTGAAAGAGCCTTGTCCACCCAGAAAACATCTCGGTGGCCACATGCAGGGGTGCTCGGGGAATGGTGGGTGCTGGGACGCGCACTCTGGCCTCTCACGTGCAGCCCTTAGGGCGTCTTGCCAGCACCCAGAAACGTCTGAGGGGTCAGTTCTCACTTCTCATCCCCTGGGAGCCCAGAGCACAGAGGGGTAGGCACACTTGGGACTGAGCGAGGGTCTGTCTGGGCTCAGCCCTGTCTGCCGCTGCCATTGGGCACTTTCCCCTCCAGAGCCGGCACCCCGGCCTGAACCCTTCAGGAAGAAGGAGGTGGTGGAGATTCTCTCTCACAAGAAGGCCTACAACACCTGTGAGACTCGGGACCCCGGGGCTGGGCACATTCCCGGGCCCCGTCTCGTAGCTCCCTGCCACCCCAGGTCCCACCTGCCTCTCGGGTTATTTCCCGGGGACCGGCCACACCCAATTGCAGCTGTTTCTCAAGCCTTTACGTCCCTGCGAGGGGCCCCAGCCCACCCTCCTTCTTGGCTCCAGTGGCCCAAATGAATCCTGCAGTGATTGGTTCCCCCCTCTGCCCAGGTCACTCCACCTGGGGACCCCCGGAGTCTCCATGCCCACTGTCTGTCCCCCTTGGCCCCAATTCCGCCCACCTGGCTCCCTGGGAGTGTCTGTCCCTGACTTCCTGTCTCTCCGCTGGTCCCTTGACTCCCCGCTGCACCCCGTGCAGCCATTCTGCTGGCGCACCTGAAGCTGAGCCCAGCCGAGCTGCGGCAGGTGCTCATGGACATGGAGCCGCAGCGCCTGCAGCCAGCACACCTGGCACAGTTGCTGCTCTTTGCGCCTGACGCCGACGAGGAGCAGCGCTACCGGGCCTTCCGCGAGGCGCCCGGCCGCCTCAGCGAGCCCGATCAGTTCGTGCTGCAGGTCCCAGGGGACCAGGGAGTGGGGGGACCCCCTCCAAGCCGGGTTTCTCCCTTCCCCCACTGGGGGGTGCGGGTCGGGGCAGAGCGCTGAGTCCCACCCTCCCGCGTGACGCATGACAGATGCTGTCAGTCCCGGAGTACAAGACCCGCCTGCGCAGCCTCCACTTCCAGGCCACACTGCAGGAGAAGACGGAGGAGATCCGCGGCAGCCTGGAGTGCGTGCGGCAGGCCTCGCGTGAGCTCAAGAGCAGCAGGAAGCTGGCCAAGATCCTGGAGGTGGGGCCCCCTCCATCAGCTGGGGCTCCCTGGCTGGGGACGGGGACACCCACCAGGACCTGTCCATGTTTCCGCCCCACAGTTTGTCCTGGCCATGGGGAACTATCTCAACGATGCACAGCCCAAAACCAATAAGACTACAGGCTTCAAGATCAACTTCCTGACGGAGGTGAGGACCAGAGACGCTGCCGTGCGTGCAGCAGAGAAGCATCTCAGCTGCTCCTCCCTCCCACCCCAGCGTCTGCTCCCTCAGGGGGCTGAAGTCTCCAGGCCAGGGCCAGGGAGGGGTGCCCCAGGGGAAAGGGAGAATCCGACCCCCACAGACACCATGTCTCAGGGGCAGGGAAGGATAGCCCTAACAGCCAGTCTTCCCAGTGTTTCTGGAACGCCCTAGCAGAGGGTTTTTGTGGGTTTTATTTTTTTTTTTTTGGCAGAAGGGCTCTTTTTTTGACTTCTTGGGTCACACCCAGCGGTGTTCCAGGGTTACTCCTGGCTCTGCATTCAGGAATTTCTCTTGGTGGTGCTCGGGAGACCATATGGGATGTCGGGGATCAAACCCAGATCGGCTGCATGCAAGGCATATGTCCCACCCGTTGTACTATCAATTCTTACCCCAAACAGAGATTTAAAACTTTGTTTGTTTGTTTGTTTTGCTTTTTGGGTCACACCCTGGCCACTGGAGTGATAGCACAGCGGTAGGGCATTTGCCTTATGTGCAGCCAGCCTGGCCGAGCCGGGTTCAATTCTTCCGCCCTTCTCAGAGAGCCTGGCAAGCTACCGAGAGTATTCAATATGCCAAACACAGTAACAAGAAGTCTCACAATGGAGACGTTACTGCGCCCACTCGAGCAAATAGATGAACAACGGGAGGACAGTGTTTGTTTGTTTGGGTCACACCCGGTGATGCACAGGGGTCACTCCTGGCTCTGTACTCAGGAGTTACTCTTGGCGGTGCTCAGCGGACCATATGGGATACTGGGGATTGAACCCGGGTCAGCTGTGTGTAAGGCAAACGCCCTACCCGCTGTGCTATTGCTCCAGCCCCTAAAACTTTGTTTTAAGCGTTTTTTTTTTTCACTTTTGTTAAAAAGATAAGGAGGTGTTGGAGAGAAAGTACAGTGGGGAGAAAGTACTTGGTTGTCACAGCCAACCAAGGTTTGATACCCAGAACCCCACATGGTCCCTCCCTGGAGCCCCTCCAGGAGTGATTCCTGAGCACTGCCAAGTGTGAGTCCCCCAACCTTTTATGCATGAAGTACACGGTTTCTGACTCTACCCAGGGAGCTGTGGCCCTGGTGGTCCCAGAACTTGAGCAGTACCAGGAGTGCCTCCCACAATGAAACCCCAACTTGTAGGTATGAATGGCTTAGGGTGTTTGAAGTTCAGATGGGCCACGGATAGTTCTGGAAAACCACAGCCTCTGCCAACAGGGGCTGCTGGATGCCCACGTCATGGAGAAGCAGGAATTGGAAGGCCCCGAGAGCACCCAAGGCCGAGTTCAGGCTTTTGTGTAAGAGGGCAGTTCCATCCCTCCCAGCACTTAGTCCCGCGCATGCCCAGAGAAACCCTGATAATACACCAGGGTGTTTCTCTGAGGGCCACCGCCAGGTGTGGCCCCCAAACCAAACCAACCAACCAATGAAAAACCCACCATCAGATGAGGCGTCAGAAACCCTTAAGGACCCCATGTGACCCTTGCAGCTTAACTCCACCAAGACTGTGGACGGAAAGTCCACCTTCCTGCACATCCTCGCCAAATCGCTGAACCAGCACTTCCCTGAGCTGCTAGGCTTTGCACAGGACCTGCCCACTGTGCCCCTGGCCGCCAAAGGTAATCCTGGAGGGGGCGGCGTGAGGAAACTGAGATTGCTGGGCTGGGCCAGCCAGCAGCGCCACCATGAGCATCTCCCTTCCCTGCAGTGAACCAGCGGGCGCTGACCAGTGACCTGGCTGACCTCCACGGCACTGTGGGAGAGATCCAGGCGGCCTGCCAGAGCATGGCGCCCTCCGGGGAGGATAAGTTTGCCGTGGTCATGGCGGTATCCTCCCAGCAGCCGTCCCCTGCCCCAGGTTGCCCACGGGGTGGTCAGGCAGAGCCGGCTCAGGTGACAGCAGCCACTGCAGACACTGCTGGGCCCGGGGCAGTCATGGGGTCACTTAGAATCAAAGCGTCTTGGGGCTGGAGCAATAGCACAGCGGGTAGGGTGTTTGCCTTGCACGCGGTCCACCTGGGTTCGATTCCCAGCATCCCATATGATCCCCTGAGCACCGCTAGGGGTAATTCCTGAGTGCAGAACCAGGAGTAACCCCTGTGCATCACCAGGTGTGACCCAAAAAGCAAAAAAAAAAAAAAAAAAAGAATTGAATCTCCTTGCCCAGTGTGTGGCAGTGACAGACTGAAGTGGCTGGGAGAGGAGAGCTGAGCTGCCCAAGGCTGACGGGCAGGCAGTCAGAGAGTGCAGGGTGGACACTGGGTGCTACTCCAGGAGGCGGGGACCAAAGGGGGCATCTGAGCAAGCTGGCCTGCAGCGGGAAGGCCAAGTGACTGGGTCGAGGTTGGGCAGACTGGAGGGCAGTGGGCAGGGACCCAGGACCCTCTGACTGCCTGCCTCCTGGAGCACAGCCGCCCTCTGGGGGGGTCACTGCAATGGGGAAGTTTCCTTAGCGACGCCTATCAGGCCTTCCTGGACATGGCCCAGCCGGCACTGCGGGCGCTGGACGGGCTGCAGCGCGAGGCCATGGAAGAGCTGGGCAAGGCTCTGGCCTTCTTTGGCGAGGACTCCAAGGCCACCACCTCTGAGGCTTTCTTCGGCATCTTTGCAGAATTCATGAGCAAGTTCGAGGTGAGGAGAGGCCCCCCTCAGAGAGAGTAGGGAAATGCAGGCCCCCATGAGGGAGGCCCAGTCGGGGAGGGTGTCGTTATTTGGCTCTTGGGACCATGACACCCGCCCTCCCTGCATCCCTCCCCAGAGAGCGCTCAGTGACCTGCAGGCCGGGGAGGGCTCACGCAGCTCCGGGATGGTCTCGCCACTTGCCTGGTGACCGCGCAGCCCGAGGGCGCCCCCTACTGGACCCGTCTACAGAACGCCAGAGGCAACCAGGTGCCGGAGGGGGCCCCCCCCCTGCTCTCCAGCTACCTCAGCGTCCAGCCCAGACACCCCCAGGAGGTGTGGGGCTTCAGCAGGAGTGGACTCCCAGGGATGGGACACATGACCCCCACCCAGTGTCTTCCTGACCTTGTCTGGTCCCAGAAGAGGCAGTCAGAGCAAGGGTGTGTGGCCAGACGGGACAGTTGGCTCGATGGCTTGTTCCGCATGGTGCCCACAGCTCGGAGCCACCTTTCTGAGCGCTGAGTGGTCCCACCTGGGCGCCCTTTGCACCTGGGACCTGAGCAACGCTAAGACTCACCCCTCCAGTGGGCACGAGAGAGCCTGGAGACCCCTGTCTGGACACAGGCGGCTTAGAGCTGAGAGCAACTCTGAGGGCCCCAGGCAAGGTTCCAGGCGAGGAAGACTCTGTTCGAAGGTGGAATTGAGATGTTCGTCCCATGGAGAAACTTGCGTTCAGTTTAGAAGGAGTCAGTTGAAAGGGGAATCGGGCGGGGGGCAGGGTCCCTGAGGGAGGGAGGGTGCAGGCAGGGTGCAATGGTGGCTCATGTCCAGGGGTGGTGATGAGGCCTGGGAACAGGGCAGACCTCAGCGTTTGCCATGGTCAGAGCTGGTGAGGACTGGGCTCGAAGGGGGCTGGGGTGTCTGCTGTCTCATCCTTTCTCTGCTTCAAATCCTGGCCTCAGGCACCCAAGAAGTCTGAACTGGCTGAATCCCATGTGACCACGTGGTTCCGGTGCCCCTGAGTAGGGTTGGGTCCATCTTTATGTGGGGGACATACTCGGCTGTGTTTGGGGGCATCTCTTCTGGTGGTGCTCACAGGACTGGGGGGTGGTACAGGTTGAGCCTGGGGCCTACATGCAGAGCTGCTCTCAGCCCTTCAACCCACCTCCCCGGCCACCCAGGACCCTCTGAGGCCTCTGAATGTTCTCTCTTTAGCCCCACTCACAGCCACAGTATAAACTCAAATGAATGGTGGGGGGGCCCGTAAGGCTCAGAATTGTTTCCCAAGTCCCCAGGTTATGTCCTGAGAATCATTGAGGGGGGGGGTCTGTGAGGATCTGCAAGCTCTGGACTCCCCCCGGGCCATCACCGGCAGTGATCCCCAGGCCCTAGGAGGCCCAGATGGCGTTTCCTGCAAGTGGACACAGACAGGCGCACACACACGCACACGCGCACACACACACACACACACACACACACACACACACACACACACACACCATCCAGATAGATCCAGCCTCTCAGGGTGCTGAACCAAGCCAAACTCAGTTTTCTCCTGACTTCCTGGCCTGGGTCATCTCACCACACATGCTGTGTGACAGGTCATCCCGAGACTTTAAGCAGCCCCCACTTAAAGTTGGGGAGTCAGTATGTTACTGGGCAGCTTCAAACTGGGTTGGCCACCACAGGTCTGTGGGGAGCACTGGTTTCTAGGCAACAGTACTCACTAGGCAGTGCTCTCCCAGGCCAGCGCCTTGGCAGGGATCACCAGGTTGGCTTCCTATGGCTTCCCATTCTCTGGCCTCAGAGCCAGCATGGTTCACAGCAGGGTGGCAGGGTCCAAGAGAACAAGCAGAGGCACCCAAGACCCCTGGAGACTCAGCACTGACGGCTGGAAGGACACTTGTCTCAAACACAGCTGACCCGGGATCAATAGCCAGCACAGTATAGAGTCACCTGCGTCCTAGGTGCAGAGCTAGAAGTCAGCTCTGAACACCACTGGGTGTGGCCTTTAAAACAAAACAAAAATACCAATTTCAGTACTGAGGTGATGGAACCAACCTGGACCTTCCCCTCTTAACCAGGGGGTCCCAGAAGCCCGTTGTAGAGGGCCTGGACTCGGGGGCGGAGTAGCAACAGGATCAACTTTGCAATCAAACTCCCAGTTGCCAAGAGAACTCCAGTCTCCTGCGGCAGCCCCCACTCTGCCCCAGCTCAACTCTGTGTCCCCATGTCCGTGACCTCCAGATGACAGTCCCTCATTCACCCGGGGCCTGTCCCTCCTGGAGTGACTTCACAGACTCACTCAAGCCTGCTGGATTTCCTGGGGGGTTTCATTCTCCTTCCCCAGGAAAGGATGATGGGAAGAGGAACTGCCTGAAGGAGAAACCCTATCTCCTGGCCAAATCTCTGGATGTAGGAGAAATGGACCCTGAAGGGAGCCACCAGGACCACCCCCCACTCTGTATGGCTCTTTGTTCCTGGATCCAACCGTGCCTGAAGGAGATGTTAGACTCCTTTATTTCCAAGCCCATACATTTCCCCTCTGTTTATACATTTTCAAAAAATTCATTTGAGGGGCCAGAGCGGTAGGACAGCGGGTAGGGCGTTTGCCTTGCATGCTGCCAACCTGGGTTCAATTCCTGACATCCTATATGGTCCCCCGAGCACCACCAGGAGTGATTCCTGAGTGTAGAGCCAGGAGTAATCCCTGAATATCACTGGGTGTGACTCAAAATGGAAAAAAAAAGCAAAAAATTAATTTGAATTAGGGGTCTTACGTGGATGTGAGTGGGTTTTCATCACTAGCGTGCAGACTGGGCTACTCTGCTATCCTCGAATACTCAGAGAGGCCTGGCCTTGCGATACTCTCTGTGACAATCCTCTCTCCATGGACATTTGCTAGTACTCATCATGTCCAGACCCAGGGCTGCATACAAGTGCCGAGTGCGTGAGCTTCTGGAACCTGGAAGCCTTTGTTGCAGCGATGGTGGGCTGATATCAGGGCAAGACGAAGCCCCCCACCCTTGTGGGGTTTGCCATGTATGTGCATCGGACCCTCAGCCTCACCATGTGACAGAATCTGGGGCTGGGGAACCCAGTTATCTCTGTAATCCCCAGTCTGCTTTCCTGCTCCTGGGTGCTCCTGGTTCTCCAAGTAAGTCCTGATCCATTTCCTCATCACAGCTACCCTGACAAGATGGGTTTTGTTATCTCTTTTTTACAAATAAAACACCTGAAACTCAGGAGGGTTCTGTGACTGCACCTGACGCTTGGGTCTGAAGTCTAAGGCAAGATGTTAAGAGCTGGGGGATGGGGGGGGGGAACTGGAGAGATAGCATAATGGATAGGGTGTTTGCCTTGCATGCGGCCGACCCGGGTTCGATTCCCAGCATCCCATATGGTCCCCTGAGCACCGCCAGGAATAACTCCTGAGTGCAGAGCCAGGAGTAACCCCTGTGCATCACCAAGTGTAACCCAAAAAGCAAAAAAAAAAATGTTAAGAACTGGCACTGTGGGTTCGACTCACAGCATCGCCCAGGGTCCCCTGAACTTGCCAGAAGTCAGTCCTGAGCACCACCTAGTGTGGCCCCCAATTCAATTCTGCAGCATCATGGAGTGGAAGCTTTGGGTCGGGAGCCTAACTGGAGCCTGACCCTTTCTGCCCCTTCAGTCTTCCCTGCCCACAGACACCAGCGGCACAGAGATAAAGGCCTTGCCCAGCTTGGGGGTATCCTGCAGAGCGCGTCTGCTCCTGCGGGCTTTTCCCTGGGCACTTGCCCCCCGGGTCTCCCCATCTGGCTCTTCTCACCTCCTCATCACCTTGTCTCCAGAGCAGTCCTGTCCCAAAGACCTGCCAGCATGAACCTGGGTGATGGGAACTCAATCTCTAGTCCCATCTTCTCTGTCTTGGAAGAAAGATCCCCCTACCCGGTGTACCTGGTTCTGGCTGTGTATGTCCTCTGGTGGTTCTGGCTGTGTATTTCCTCTGGAGGCGTCAGACCACAGCCCACTTTCACTGAAGCTGGCCCCGTCACTGCTAAGTCCCCAGGGCCTCTGCAGCCTCAAGAACAGTCTCCTGGAGCCGGAGTCAGTCATAGGACAGCAGGCTGGGCATTTGCCTTGCATGTGGCAGACCCAGGTTCAGTCCCTGGCATCCCATGTGGTCCCCCAAGCACTGCCAGGAATAATTCCTGAGTGCAGAGCCAGGAGTAACCCCTGAACATCGCTGGGTGTAACCCAAAAAGAAAAAAAAAAGGAACAGTCTCTTTTGTTTGTTTGGAGGCCACAGCCAGCTGTGGTCAGGGCTTACTCCTGGCTCAGTACTCAGGGGTCAATCTTTGTGGGCTCAGAGGACCATATGTGGTGCCAGGTATCAAACCCGGGTCGGCTCTGGGCAAGGCAATCCCCTTCCTGCTCCACTGTCACTCCGGCCCCAGTCTATTTTTTTTTCAACTGATTCCACTGTGAGATACAGTTACAAAGCTTTCATGATCGAGTGTCAGTCATACAATGATCGCACACCCATCCCTCCACCAGTGCGCCTTTTCCACCAGTGTCCCTGTATCCCTCCCACTACCCAGTCTATTTTTGTTTGTTTGGGGTCATACCTCATGGTGCTCAGGGGTCACTCCTGGTGGCTCTCAGGAGACCATAGGCAATGCCCAGGATCAAACCAGGGTTAGCTACATGCAAGACAAGCAACTCACCCCCAGAACTCTCTCTCTCTGGCCCATTGAGAACAATCTAGACACTCATGTGGGTTCCCCCCTCTGGACTGGGTCCTCCGTTCCTTCTCCCTCAGCACTCACTTCTCTCCGTGAGTCTTCTCCGGGTCCGGTGGTGACTGGGCAGGGAGCCCTGGACATACCTGCTGTCCTTATCTGTCCATGGGGCAGTACTGGGCATGTTGTCCCTCGCCCTGGCTCAGCTGTGGGGGTGCTGTGAGCAGAGGCCCAGGGTCTCGCCTTAGACTCAGCAGGCTCTTAAGAATTGCCCATTTGGTGCCAGAGCGACAGTACAGTGGGGAGGGCATTTTTTTCTTTGCATGTGGCTGACCTGGGTTCAATCCCCCAAGTCACGTATGGTCTCCCAAGTCTTCTAGGAATGATCCCTGAGCATTGCTAAGTGTGGCCTCAAAACAAAAAGTTCCCCAATCAATCAAAGCCAAAAGAGTCTCGAGGTGAGAATTTCCAGCTGGTCCAGGGAGCGATGGCAGGGACAAGGGCTGTGAAGTTTGCATGTGGGCACCCTGGGATCAAACCCCAGCACTGAGCACCAGAGGGAGCCATCCCCAAGCCCTGTCAGACGTAACCCTCAAACAAAGATAATAGCAGAAGAGCACAGCAAACCCATGAAGAGGGTGATATAAGAGATGAGATTCCAGACAGACCCAGGATTGGGGAAGGGAGCCATTTACGGGGGTCTTATCTGCTCCCTGTGGAAGATGAGCTGG